GTGGACTTTCTAAACAGCTGGAGCATGTCATGCATTTCTCCAAGTGGGCTGTCTCCAGCGGAAGCAGCACTGCATTGCTTTACAGCAAGCGCCTGGTAAGGTGGACAGGGATGGCACCACAGAACAGTGGCGTCTTTGGAATGCTCAAAATTCATCAATGTGCCTTTTGTCCTTTTTATTTAAGTATTTTATCTGATCCTAATTTTAATGCATCAGAATATTTTGGTTTTATAAGTGTTATTTTTTTTTACTTCATATAATGTAAGGGCTACTTGTAATCTATTTTCACTCCTCTTTCATTCGTTTCCAAGTTAATATTGCTCAGGCTTAGTGGTAGTGAACCTAACATAGCATCAAATATAGCTAACCATTTGTATTTCTTAGTCTCGTTCTTAGCAAATCCGTGATAATATTTAAAATATCAGTCCTTCGGAGACACCTCTCCCTCCCACTGTGGTGAAACTACAGCACGGAAGAGAAGAGAGTACCATGTCTGAGGTTACATAGGAAGAAAGGCAGCTAGGATCCAAAGTGGATGCCTGACCTCTAGGGTTCTATCATCTGTTACCCCCAGTGCGATTGGCACAGGACAGAGCAGAGTTTAGGGCTGTTGTACATAGGGTCGCTATGAGTCGCAAGCGACTTGACGGCACATAACAACAACAACAACCCCCTCTATGCTTTGGACGCCAGCTGCTCTGGAGTAGTGACTCAGATTTGATTCTGTATTTTGCATATGAGTCATTCCTGGGTGATGCTAATAACGCTGCTGGTCCATGGACCAGGCTTTGAGTGGCTGAGACCTAGGAGTGAGATACTGAAGACATGCATGTTAAGAATTTCTTTCTTACCAATTTCATTCTTCAATGAGATGGAAAAGGCAATCTCCAGCTTCATTTGGAATGGAAAGAAGCCACGAATAAGCAAAGCACTCCTTAAAAATAGAAAAACGGTAGGAGGCATCTCACTCCCTGACTTAAAATCCTACTACACTGCCGTGGTAGTCAAGACAGCATGGTACTGGTACAATGACAGACACATAGATCAATGGAATAGAATTGAGAACCCAGAAATCAGCCCATCTATTTATGAGCAATTGATTTTTGACAAAGAGATGAAATCAGTTAGGTGGGGAAATGACAGCCTTTTTAACAAATGGTGTTGGCAAAATTGGAAAACTATCTGCAGAAGAATTAAACAAGATCCCCACCTCACTCCATATACAAAAACCAACTCAAGGTGGATCATGGACCTAGGATTAAAACCAAGGACTGTAAACTTCATTCAAGAAAAGCTTGGAAAAACTTTAGTAGTGCTAATCCACAACATATAGAGTCTTCCCAGTATTCTGAAAAATTTACAACCAGGAGAAGATAAAATAGATGAATGGGACCTTCTAAGAATCAAATCCCTATGCGCATCCAGAAACTTCTCTAACAGGGTAAAAAGGGAAGCCACAGACTGGGAAAAAGTTTTTGGTAATGACATGTCAGACAAGGGACTTATATCTAGAATTTATAAAATACTCGAGCACCCCAACAAGATAAAGGAGAAAAATCCAATTGAAAAATGGGCACAGGATATGAACAGACACTTCACCAAGGAAGACATTCAGATGGCCAACAAGCACATGAAGAAATGTTCAAAATCCCTAGCCCTGAGAGCGATGCAAATCAAAACAACCATGAGATATCATCTCATTCCAGTAAGACTAGCAAAATTTAACAGAACAGCAAGCAACAAATGCTGGCGAGGTTGTGGAGAGACTGGAACCCTTATTCACTGTTGGTGGGAGTGTAAAATGGTGCAACCACTGTGGAAAGCATTGTGGCGCTTTCTCAAAAAGTTGCAAATAAAGACACCATTTGACCCAGCAATTCCACTACTGGGAATATACCCTAAAGAGACCATAAATGACATCCAAGTAGATATATGTATACCCATGTTTATCGCGGCTTTGTTTACAATAGCAAGGAGTTGGAAACAACCTAAATGCCCATCAACAAACGAATGGGTAGAGAAGCTGTGGTATATTCGCACAATGGAATACTATGCTGCATTGAAAAACAAGGAACTCATGCAATATTATTCAAAATGGGTGACCCTGGAGGACATTATGCTGAGTGAAGTATCTCAGTCACAAAGGGACAAATGCTATATGGTGCCACTGTTGTAGAATGAGGCTGGCATTGGGGTGGGGGTAAGACTGAGAAAAACTGGATGAAGGGAAAAAAAAAGAATTTCTTTCTTGAACTCTATTGAAGATTCATTGGATTCACACCCTGAAGTCAGTTTAACATAATCCGTATTAATCTGTTTTCTGTCACCTACACTAGGTTTTACAGTCACATGGCAGAACATAGTTGAACTTAATTTGAATTTGCATATAAGCCATTGCTAATCTGTTTCATAGTCAAGGCCTAGCCTTGTTCTGACTGATAATGTTGAGCTTTCCATGAGCTCTTTTCACAGATTTAGTCCATTTGATCCCTGTGTGTTCCATCAGGGGATGCCCATGTGTCCAGTAGTCATTTATGTGATTTTAAAAGGTGTTTATATTGATTAAGTTGCTGATTGTACAGAATTCTGTCATGCCATCTTCAACCTTATTTCTGTCCCTACAGCCATGTTTTCAAACTGTGAACCTGCCTTGTTTTCCAACTTTGACATTCTAGTCACAAGTTGTGGTTGTTATTACATCTTGATTGCAGAAGCTGTTTGAAATCCTGTTTCTTTATATTTGCCTTTAGTTACTGTTGTGTTGAAAATTAGTTGTTACCAGGCCGTCCTGTATGCATATGATGTTGTCCTGTTGCTGCCGAGAACCTCCTCAGAGTGATAATATGCAGTGGTCTTGTTGTAAAGGCTAATGTGTGCCTGACCCAGGCCTTGGTCTTTTCTTTCATTTGCTTCAAATGTAGGGGAAAGGTGAACAATGAGTAAGAAAGACCAAATTGATACATTTGAATTGCAGTGTTTTCAGCTCTTGTTCTTATAATTTCCCTTCTTCTAGAGCCTACTGGGTTAGATTGTTGTTCTTTGTTTGATGAAGTTGTTGAGTTAGATCGTTAATTTTGCTTTTTTCCTTTGTTTTTTATGTGTTTGCCTTTTGCTATGAACTGGCCACTAAAGACTGCCTTAGCTGTATCCCAGAGGTTTTGGTACATTTGAATTTTCATTGTCATTTGTTTCAAGGAACTTTTTTATTCTTTATTTCTTCTGTAACCCAATCATGTTGTTGTTGTTGTTGTTATTATTATTATATTTGTGTGTGTACGTCAAATCAGATCTGACTGGTATAGGAGATTGTTCCCCCTTCTCCAGCAGAGCCATCTGGTGCCAATCATGTTCTAGCAGAGTGTTATTTATCCTCCAGGTTGGTGGCTTTATCCTCTTGTGGTTAATTTCTGGTTTTATGGCATTGTGATCTGAAAAGATACTTTGTATAATTTTAGTGTTAACAATGCTTGGGAGGCTGGAGGGACAGTGCAAGAGAGGAAGACCCTCAATGAGATGGATTAACTCATTGACTGGGGTAATGAGGATAGGTGTGTCAGAGATAATAAGATTGGCACCTGATAGAGAGAGCAAGGTTCAGGGCTGTTGTACATAGGGTCGCTATGAGTTTCAAGCAACTTGATGAAACATAACAATAACAAAGTCCTTGAGGTTCTTTCTGTTCTGCACTGCACCCCTGTAGGAATCTTGCATTGTATTCCCTGACACCAATTCTATAGGCCTCCTTCGTATGTGAAGTGGCTTAGAGGTGTGAAACTCAGTTTCTCATGTACCTGTTCACCTGGAACTTAAAGTCTTCCTTTGTCTCTCACATGGCAAATTAGAGATCAGTGCTGCCAGCTCAAGCAGCTTGCAAGCAGGAGGGGCTCTCAAGTCAGAGAGCTATGGAGATTCTTTGCTATGCTTGAAGTTCTGTATACTAAAGTCTCTTGTCCTGTTTGGCCCCTGAGACTGCCCCGCAACTGCAGAGGCAAGGGCCCTCAGATGAAGGGAGCTAGAACCCCAGGGACACCTCAGTTCTCTTGCCCCACAAGCAGAGGTGAGCGCTTGCTCTCGGCTCAGAGCCTCCCCTCCCCTTGTCCGCTGTAGCTTAGTGTCTTCTGGTGTGGCAAGAGATCAGGACTGCCAGCTCGTATGCAGAGGCTCTCAGGTCAGCCCTCTATAGATAATAATTTTTGAAAATAATTTGTTGAAGTTTTAAAAGTAATTCCAGAACACTTCATTGTGCTGTTCTTAGACCAAAAGAACAAATGTTGGATCAGAACAAGGGGATGCTGTGTAGCCTGTGTGGTTACAAATAAACTGAGAAGGTGTACTATTAGAAGATCTTGTGTCGTCAGAATTGTAGGACTGATAATTTCCAATATGCAGAGACACAGCCTTGCGTCTGAAAATGAAGAAGATCAGAGCCATTTAGTGATGAAGACAGAAAACTGCACTTTTCCATATTGGTTACACCCCAAGTTCTCACAACGAGCTCCATAAACAACCTCATCATAAATGAAAAAAGATTTGCATTGTTCATCTTTTCATTTCTATTGGGATCCACAATCAAAGCCCAGGGGAAGCAATGTTCGGGAAGTGAAACGATACATTGCATCGGGCAAATTGATGGTAATTGAATACTAGCCAATAGTGTGGTGTTAGAATCAGTCTAAAGGTGCCTTAGTAGTAAGCCCTGATAATCTGCTTCTGAAAACTCTGTACATGTGCTGGTGTCAGTATGGTCACGCCACAGTGACAGTCAACTCTTACAGCATAGGAGAATTGAAGGGCAAAGGGTGAGATTACATCGCAAGGAAACTTAATGAGAGCAAGGGCTTGTGGGACACTGTGTACTAGAGGGGGTGAACTGATTGAAAGATTATTTCTGGATATTTAAAACATCATGAATTATCACAAGACTTTCCCTAAAAGGTAGCACTGCTAACTCAAAGCTGTTGCACCTCTGAGATTTGAACCCACCAGTGGCTTCTAACGTGGGACTTACAGTCTCCTAGAAGCCTGTTGGAGAATCGGCTGTGAGGCATTTCTGACTCGACAGCAGTAAGTGAATGTGAATGTTAGTGGTGGTGAGTGAGCCAGGTGCTCATGCTGTCAAGGACTGAGGGAGAATCACCAGGACTTGACCCAGCAGGTCTGGTTACAGCAAAGGAGTTGCTTTGTATTCTGTCACCTTCTAACCCCATTCTCAATTCCATATCCTTCCAAAGGGTAAATAAAAGAGCAAGAGAGTTAAATGTTTTATTTTACAGATATTTGAATTAGTTATTAATAATTCAAAGTACTGACTTCAATCTAACTCTTAGTTTAAGGTAATTTTTGGTTTTTATTCAGCAATGCACCTGAGTTAGTTCTACCACAAAACTTGTTTGGGAAGAGAGTTGATGTCCCGTGTCCACTTGATATGTCCTGTGTGTGGTCTTTAAGCATGCTGACATGTGCACTAGAGACCATTTTTGAGTATTTACTAGTCACCTTGTTTGTCACCATTACTAAGACCAAGGCTATGTTTTCTCCTCTCTCCTAGATTACATACCGGTTACGGCACCTCCTTCGAGCCAGGTGTGATGCGTCCCCAGCCACCAACAACACCATCCAATTTCACTGTGATCCTAGCTTCTGGGCTCAAAATATTATCAATTTAGGTAGGCCAATTGTGTATGTTTTCCCAAAGTGACACTTGGTTAATGGATCTTTTAATGTTTATGATCTGATACTGAAATCTCCTCTACCACCCAAATGGCTTATTTTGAAGACATGATACTTAGTGTTTTAATTAGTGTTGATGTTGTCTGTATCATCAAGTCAGAACCCACAGCTGACCGCTGACCCTCCAGCAGGTTTTCAAAAGCATTAAGTCCCACAGGAAGATGTTGCCAATCTTTCTCCCTCTGAGCAGCTGCTGGATTTGAGCCACATGCCTTCAGATTGACGGCCACCGGAGCTTCGTTAGTGTGGAAGTGTTGATATGTGTGTGTGTGTGTGTGTGTGTGCCTTCCACGTGTACGTATGTACTTCCCACTCCTCCACACATGGATGCTGTACTGTTCACTTGAGACATAAGACAGTGGACTTTTTAACACTTTCCTGTTAGGTTCTTTGCTAGGTAGACATAGTCTTACTGCTTGCTCCTTGTTTTTCACACACAATTGTGGCAAACGGAAATTTAAAGATATCCCTATACGTTGTTTGAGGAGCCATGAGCTGCCAACCAGAAGGTTGATGGGTCAAATCCACCAGATGTAGGAGTTAAGATTTCCTGTCTTGTGACTTGATAGAGGGCCACCAGGAGTCACAGTCAACCCAGTGGGTTTGGGGTTAGTATTCGGTGATGCAGCAGTTAAGTAATTAATTGCTTACCCAAAGGTTAATGGTTTGAACTCAGCTGGCTTTCAGGAGAAAGATGTAGCTGGCTGTTTACATAAAAATTACAGCCTCAGGAATCTCATAGGACAATTCTCTTCTGCCCTCTACCGTCACTGGGTCAGAAGCACTCACTAGCCTGGCTTTCATTTGGGTTCATATACGGTTCGTTAACAACCAGAATTATTACACCTTAGGGCTTATTTTGAACTAGGAGCTCATTTCTAGTGCTTCAGAATGATTGGAGGTGGTTGCTCTCACTTCTATGACCAGAGTTTTCGTGGGAAAGAATGATTGGAGTGACAGCTTTCTCAGAACCCCCCGGAAGGGAAGAAATGAGTTTACACAGAAGAAGAGCATATACTCAAAGAAAGGAGACAAGGACCCTCCCAGATAGCAATAAAAGAGTATATGGCCAGATGCCTCCAGCTACAGGCCAGGCAGTTACATCCACGTCCCCTCCTTCACTGGAAGGAAGATCTTCTTGGGAAATACAGATGTGTACAAGCCACTCTGCCTGGCACCCGTCTGCAGAACTTGTCACATCATGAGTGCTGACCACTCAACAATTGTTACATGTAGCTATGTGTCCTTGTCTACATGCCATGTGCAGCATGTAAATGCACCCACATACAACACAGGTGCATTAAGAGTTCTGGTGACAACTGCACACACACTGATGGGGTAGTATTTTAAAGTTGATGTGTAGCAGGATATGTGGGTGTGGCCTGGTGAGGTGATAGTATCCAAATCTATTTTATGGAGGATAATGACAGTCCCCATCAGAACAAAGCTCTGTCCATGAGGTCGGCATGCTCAGACATACCACCACCCTCTAGCTGGATCTCGGGCCTCACAGCAGCCGTCGTCCATGGTACTCTGCATCTCATCTGGTTCCATTGTCTGTTGCAGTGGCACACAGAGCTCGGAGAACTCTCAGAGTTCACTGGTTTGCAAGGAGCAGGGAACAGCCTGGAATGACATCAGGAAGCCTTGAGGCAAATCCTCTCTTCAGCGCAGGGCAGCTCTTTCAGCCTCCCTCAGGCTAGGCTCCTCTTGGGTTTGCCAGAAGGTTCCCTGGTCCTGAAACTGTTCTTTTAAAATTGTAGTGCTTGACCCACATTACAGGTGTTCTAGAAGGTTCCTTGTTGCTTTTCTCTTCTTCTGCTTCACTGCCATGCCTGTTTTCTGCTTTTACCTGCTTCCTATCAGAAAGACCTCTGTGGGAATGGCCACACACACACACATACAGCTACATGTTATAAACTCTTTGTCAATTTCAAGGCATGGCCTTTCCAGCAGGATCAAAAAGTGACCAATCCTCTCTCAAGTGGATGAATATACTTCCTGTAGACCACAAACCTAATTTGCATAACATAGTAACTTCAGTTGCATCATCTGTTGACCAGTCCTATAAGAGTGTGTGCCATTTGTAGGGCAGGCGGAAGCCCAGGTCCAGACAAAAGTGTCAAACTACAAATTGTTTCATTTACCCAAGAAAAACTGATTAACTTGTACAAATGTAACAGATCCTCTATGATAGGAGAACTGGATCAATGGTAGCTCAGGGCTCAGGAAAGAAATTACACAGGCTGTTTTTCCAAAGAACTAAGACAAAAGACCATGTAGAACAGAGGGACTCATTTTCCCACCTTGATCAGAGTAACTTAGTGGAGCTGTGAGTAGTAGCTCTAACTGGCACCTTTCAGAGCTGCGTCGGTCTCCAGATGGGGCTGTCAGGGCTCATCCTTTGCTTCTGGGAACCACGCATGGGGAGCCAGGAGGGGTGTGAGTCTAGGTGAAGGTTTATGTCAAGACAGTTCTGTCCAAGATACTAAGTTATTTATTCATTGTGAACTCTGTTCCCTCTCAGTAAAAGAACACAAATACCTGTCCCAGTGCCTGGTGCACTTCAGGTCTTCAGTGAAGAGTCACTGTAGTGAGGACGGCTTTTGCTTACTAAGCTAGAATCTCGTGTTGAAAAATTCCAGCTTTGTATGCTTCAGCCCTCCCTGTCAACATGTTCTCTCCAAGAGTAGGTGCAGTAAGGAAGGGGAATTTGAAAGATTCAAGTCTCTGGTACTCAGGTGGACTGTATGGGATTGCACTGAGATCCAGTGTCCTTTTTGTGTGTTTAGTTCTGCTGTATATAGTGTTCCTCAGTATGTCGTCTGAGGACTTTACAACGCCCACAGAGTCCTCCCATCCCAGCTATGTGACTGTGAGGCTTAACTCTCTTCATCGTTCAACATAAGCAATGCAGCATGACAGATAATGCTTTAAGAATATAAAAGGGGTTTCGTTTTAAACCAAGTTCTTTGGAAGTTTTAAAGTTCAGCATAAATAGGCTTACCAAACGGTGGTATCTCATTACTGTCAGGAGAATGAACTTGACCACTTTGTCTTTTGTCTCTCCAGGTTCTTTAGTAATCGAGGATAAGGAGAGCCAGCCACAAATCCCTAAGCAGAATCCTGTGGTGGAGCCGAATCCACAGCCACCAGGTGGCTTATCTTCAAACCAGTTATCCAAGTTCCCAACACAGATCAGCCTAGCTCAGTTACGGCTCCAGCATATGCAGCAACAGGTAATGGCTCAGAGGCAACAGGTGCAACGGAGGCCAGCACCTGTGGGTTTACCAAACCCTAGAATGCAGGGGCCCATCCAGCAACCCTCCATCTCTCATCAGGTAAATTGGGAAGCAGGCCTGTCCTGACTTAGATAATTATGGTACAATTGTGTTCAGCAGCTCCTAACATAACCAGGACAGCCACCATCTCTGACAGAAATAGGATCTTATGAAAATCTATCAGGTTCCAGAACCCTGATTTGACTCCTAGTTTTAGCCATTCTTAGAAAGAATTTTGTGGTTTCTTTAGCAGCTGCCTCTATTTGCGTCTCGTCTTTATTGTCCTTAAATCCTGTGCTATGCTATCGATAGCCCATATCTGTGAGTGACCCTGTAACTCCCCAGGCACGGCTTAGAAAGCTGTGTGGCCAGAACAAGGCGAGAGCAGCCCACGCTGCTTTCAGCGGTCACCTTCGTTTAGAGCACATGGTCCACAAACTTTGAATCCTATTAATTTTAAAGCCAGTTTCTGAAGACTTAGATATGTTTTCCCTGTCCTTTACCAGTCAGTTTAGATGTAGATGTGTTGTTGTGTGCTGTTGATTTTTTTGACCCCTAGTGAAGTGGCCTCGTGTGACAGAGCCGTGCTGCCTCATGGTGTTTTCTAGTTGTCATTCTTATGGGAGCAAATCAGCAGATCTTTTTCCCCACAGACCCATTGGATGGGTTCTAGCCCACCAGCCCTTCTGGCAGTAAACCATTGTGCTGTCAGGGTGCCTGTTAGACGGAGGCATAATGAAAGTTTAATATGGAATGTGTGGTTCTTGTTATGTGCTATCAAGTCAGAGCCCAATCACAGCTGACCCACCAGCAAGATTTCCAGATGCTATAAATTACATGAGAGGAGTTTTTTTCCTTGTTTTCTTCATGCAGCAGCTGTGGCTCAAACTATGTGCCTTTGGGTTGGCAGTGTAACCCTTACCCACTAAGCCACCAGACCTCTCCCTTTAAGAAGTATGAAGACTACATAATAGTTCTGTCTTGATGTTTGTTTATGTTCTTCCTGTGTCTGAGAACTTTTTGAAGTGCTTTATACTAAATAGTACTGAAGGTAGGAGCACGGTTTAATAGTAGTGGTGATCAAAGAGGACAGCCCAGGCTGAGTTGTGTAAATATCTACTAAAAAGGGAAGTGTGCTGGAGTCACTAGTATTTTACTGACTCCAAGAAGAATGTATGATATTCTTTACAGAAAAGTAATTCAGTGGTATAATGACTATTTTATGCAGTCTTAGAAAATGTTGAGATGGTCTTCATTCGTAGCACTCTTATTTCAGCCTTCAATAAAAACATCAAGCATTGGTCAGTCCTAATGGGCTTTATCCTGTCAGGGTGAAATTAGAGCAGGGTGTAGTGAATGAAGATGACCAAGCCTGACCTCTGTTAACCCCACAGGGAGCCTGCCGCCATCAGCAGCATCTACCACACAAACTCAGTTCCCGTGTGGGCCGACACGGCCTTCCACACTCCTGCACCCACTTACTGGATTCCAGATCTGTTGCAGTGCCCACACAGACTTGACAAAACCATATTCATAGTTACGGAATTTATTAGAGAAGTTAATAAGGTATAATTCAGGTTAACAGTTCAGAGAGCTTCTCAGTTAACCGCAGAATACAATTTCTCAGTCCACAGAGCTGCTCATTTAATAGCAAGATGTAATCCCTGAGTCTAGACAACAGCAAGCTACGATCCCTGGCACAGGAATCTCTGACCCCAAAGGGTACATTTGTCCATTCTCTGCTTCCTCTTGGTGGTGAGATTCCACTTAATGCCTCTGAATTTGCTCAGTTTATTGTCAAAACTAGCCACTCTCTTTGGGGATAGGTTCACATGTCCTATTTTCATCAGGAAGTGATGACTTCTGCACCTGTTGATGATGTAATCTGGCCAGCACAGGGCAGGCAGAGTCGAGGTGACTGGATCAAATGAAAAACAAGTGATCTGGGGAAGCCAAGTTTTTGGCACCAGACCCATCACACTGGACTGTGACCACCTGAGACAGTGTACTTGATATATATGACCTGATGGAGTAGTTGTAAGAAGGGAAATTTAGCAGACCCCCCCGGGTCTCAAGCTTCGAGTCTGTCCAGGTTATGACAGGAAGTAAATAGGAGCTGGTTTTTTTAGCATGCCTTAGAGCATCCCAGCGAGGGTACTGGCACACTTTAGATACCAGGAGCGTAGCTGGCAGAGCTAGAATGAGGAAACCGTTGAGGAATAGTCTCAGATAAGCTATACAATTTTCTGAAGATCAGTAGGAAGAAGAGAAAGGATATTTGTTGAGTACCTGATGCCAAACTAAACATTGTCATATATTAATTGTTGTTTCCTGTGGGCAAGTTGGAACTGACTCCTCGCTTACCCTCCAGCAGTTCTTCAGAAGCGGTACCTCTCATGGGAGGAGACTGCCCATCTTTCTCCAAAGGAGCAGCGAGTGGATTTGAACTGCTTGCCTTTGAGTTGACAGCATACCTTCTTACCACCAGACAAGCCCAGTATTAATACTAATCTTGAATTCTGATAGATGACAAAATGATGGTCATTTCATAACTTGTTAAACTGGAAAGGAACATGACTTGTGGTTGGTGCCTTTTCCCTTGAGAGTGAGGACACTGAGGCACTTAGTAGATAATGTGCCTTGGTCAGATTGTCATAGTTATTTATGACCGTGGACGAAATGAGATGACTTCTGACCCTGTGGCCTACTTCTCTCAGAAATGTGCTACTGGTTTCCCCAGCTCTGGGATTTACTGCTCTGACCGACACTGGACACAGTTTCTATGGTATTTACAGTCCAGTTTTCTACTTAGAGTTTTTGCATCACATGGTCATAACCTCGCATTTGGTTTCCTCTTGGTTTCTGGACCTCCACACCTTCATCTTTCTTTTTTGTCTACTCTCTGCCCAGTACCCACCCAGATGCTTTTCACCTGTGGATTTGTGCCTCTGGTGGCATAGTCCGTACAGAGTTAGCACCGAGCTTCTGGTGGTTCAGATCTGTAGGAGAAAGATGGGCAGTCTCCCTGCATGAGGTTTACATCCTCAGAAAACCCGATGGAGAGTCACCTATGCGTTGATTCTGACCTGACAGCAGTGAGTTTGCTGTGAGTTTATAAACTTACTGTCTCTGTCCTGCCTATCTGAGTTGCATTTCCCACCAGTCCTGTGCCCAGGTATCTGGGGCAGTGCTTGTCTGTGAGTAAGTGTGTAAGTCTCTCTGACATTGTGGAATGGGCAGACCACACTGTCCATTCGTCCAAGATGACACAGTTGAAGGATTGCTCTAGAAATCTTCATGGTCGTTCTTGCTTTGGAGACCTGACTGATGTGTGTGGTTAACGAGTTGGGGAGAAACAATGGCTGAGTGCACAGCTGTGGAGGACAGTGTGCGGATACCCTGTACCCTGTCGTAGGCTGGTCCTCGTTTGTCACAGCAGCACCACACCGTTCTCAGTGCGCATGTATTTTCATGATACGCAGTGGGTGGCTCTTGGCAGATACATGGTACCAAGAACATCTGACCTCGAATACGGTCAAACTTAGAAACAAGGCCCAGAGTGTGGAGGAGGACTTTGTGTCAGAGGTGCTGCAGCTCAGTTTTTTCCCTTCTGTATATTGCATATTAATTGTTTCCATTAAGTCAATACTTGGCTGTTCCTTTTAAGCTGGTTCCCAGTCATACCCTTCTCAGTTACTTCCCTTGTCCCAGGGGTTCTTAGAGAGTGATTTCCTGCTTATCACTGCTAGCACTACTATGGAGTAGAGTCCACTCAGAGCAGGCCACTTTAGGGGTCCCAGGCTGGACATCATTACAGGAGATTGCCCACCTTTCCTCCAAGATGTGACTAGTGCTTTCAAACAGCCAGCCTTTTAGTTAGCGGGCTGATAGGTGACCAGCAAGTCACCAGTGCACCGTTTTGAGAGAAGCATCGCCTTTTCTTCCCAATCTGTGAGCATCTTGCCATCTAATAACCGAATTGGTGCATAATCTTTGCACTGGGTGGAGATGTGAACTCAGCAGGAAAGACACAGTGAGGACAGAGTGGCCAGCACTCCGTCAGGGCCACTCAGGGTGCTTGTTCCCTCCTTTCTGCATGAGATCAATTCACATGTTTTCCACTCTATGAAAACCCTCCAGCTGTTTTCTGTACTCTATGATGGAACATTCTTCAAGTCAAAACTTTCATAGGAACCAGAAAGAATTGCTGTTGCATCAGGTTTCTGTGAAGTTCTGTGTTTTGTTTTGGTTTTTTTTTTCTGCAATGTTGTTATTTTCATTTTTCACCCACCCAATTTTACTTGGTTTGCAAACACTCTCTGTTCACTTGTCAGTGGTCTACACTTGCCGGCTACTCTTAGAAAGTGAATCCAGTGTCACCCTATTCATATCCACCACAGCCAAGTCAGTTCTGACTCATGCGACCACCCCTCCGTGAGTCAATTAGACTGTCAGTATATGGGAGAAGATTGCCCATCTTTTTCCCTCAGTGAAGCTGGTGGAATCAAACTGCTGACCTTTCAGTTACCAGCCCAACAGGCAACATACTGCTTGATCAGGATCCCTTAATTTGCAAGAGAAGGGGAGAAAGGGTTAGGGAATAGGGCTGGACCTTACCACCTGCATTCACTGAGCTTCAGTGTAGGCGTTGCTGCTTCCACCTTGAAGATTCCTCCTTTGGGAGGATCTGGTGCCTCCCTGACAAGGTCTGCTCCTGTGTTAGAGTATCCTGAAACAGACTATGTCCTTTGCAGTAAAGTGTCCTCCCTGAAAGCTCTCAGGAGAGACTGGCCTCAGTGTCACCCATTGTCAGTTGCTGGTCTCGGTGTCTGTGGCTGACACGATGATTCCCCTGCCTAGCCCTTACACAGTCTGACTTCCCATCAATCCTACTGTCCTGTGGGCAGCCAGTATCCTTAGCGGGTCGGTTCCCTTTTAAAATTTGTTTTCTTCAGGAGACTCATCCTCTGAGCTGTAATTAGTACCTTAATCAACAGTCAGCTAAGCAGTCTGTGGTAAGGATATGGCACCTTGATTTTCCTCTATTACCTTTTACTAGCTTTGTGGCTTCTTTTGCATTATCTGAACTCTCAAATCTTTCCTCATAAACAAGAAAGATAATGCCACTTCATAAGTCTAAATAAATACATGTAAGAGGTTAATCTCAACGCTTTCAATATAGTTAGATCACAATAAGATCTAAACACTATTCTCTTTCATGTTACTATAGTATCACCATGAAGTAAGATGTCAATTAAGAGTGCAAACTTTAAGACTAGTCTGTTTGAAGTCAAAATCCCAGGTCCATCAGTTACTGTCTTTATTAAACTTGGTCAGGTTGATGAAATTATCTGTATCCTCTGTAAAAATGGACAGAGTACTCATTTCATGCGATTGTTTTGAGATTAAATGGTTCAGCCATTCAACATATTGAAAGTGGTGACTAACATTTAGTAAGTGCTCAAGAAATGTTAACAATTATTATTCTGCTTTAATTTGAACTTAATAGTCGATTTGAAGAAGGTACCAGCAAGCACTAGCATGTTTTACCTACTTCTTAACATGGTATCGTGCCAGTCGCAGAGGGCTTGTTAGGTGCTGTCAAGTCAATTATAACTTCTGGGTACCCATGTGACAACAGAACTGTCTCCCAGTCTGTATTTTCTATGGAGACAGTACCAAATTTTTCTCTTGGAGTTGCTAGGTGAATTTGAACATTTGATCAGAGGATGACCATTCAAGCATTGTTCTTCCTGGGCTCCTTCAAATCCTGCTACAAAGATTTCTCTTGAGTTGGCATATGCTTTCCCAGGGCTCTTTCTTAAGAGAACTTTCCCCCCCAAGTTGTTTATACAACATAAAGTCTATGCTCTCCCCGTCCGTAGTACTCTTGCGATGTTCATAAATGATTCATCTGGGGCAGAGGTGATTCCTTTCTGGCATTTTGTATGAGTGTTGTAGAAGAAGAGTTCATGATGTGATTTTCAGAAGATAATTGTTAATACAGACTTACTCTCTTTTCCAGCAACCTCCTCCACGTTTGATAAATTTTCAGAATCACAGCCCCAAATCCAATGGACCAGTCCTTCCTCCTCATCCACAGCAGCTGAGATATCCACCCAGTCAGAGTGTCCCACGGCCAGCAATAAAGCCAAACCCCCTGCAGATGGCTTTCTTGGCGCAGCAAGCCATAAAACAGGTGTGTGGCTACCTTCTCTCTGCAGGCGCCCTTCTGCTCTTTCGCAGAAGGTGTGGGAGAACTGCCTTGCTGATTTGTTTTCTAACAAATGTTGCTATCAACATTTAGAGACAAAGCCCAGAGAAGGATTTTGGTGCTGTACAGCTGACCAGGGTGCTCATGATCACATGACTTTTGTTGGCCTTTTGATACATAGTATTGTGGGGAATTGGAGAGGCTGGTTTCATTTGTGCAGTAGTGATAGGTAACTTTACAATGATTTCCCTAAGTTTCCCCAAGGTAGCAGAATTCTAACAGCTTCCTGACGTCCACACCAAAAAATCTTCAGTTTGTATTATGGGTGCAGTACATAAAAGGGGGAACAAGAAAGAAGTCTTTTCTAAGTGTTTCATGGCGACTTCTTGGAAACACCCTGTGACACAGTTTCACCCTGGAACATGTGTTAAAATTTCATATTCTTGCTATCTTCTCTCATTGTTTGCAGGTGGGATTATTTTCTAGATTGTTTTGATTCATTTTAGTTAAAGGTTACCGCCGTACTGTCCTTGTCAGTTACACACGCAGTGTGAAGCTTTCCATCCTCTGATAGATGGCCCTTGTGCCTTCTTGCTCCTGTAGTGGCAGGTCAGCAGTGGGCAGGCCGCCCCATCAACTGCCAGCAGCACGTCCTCCACCCCCTCCAGCCCCACCATCACCAGTGCAGCGGCCTACGATGGAAAAGCTTTCGGCTCCCCAGTGATTGACCTAAGCTCCCCAGTGGGAGCAACTTACAATCTTCCTTCCCTCCCAGATGTAAGTATATGCAAAATGTCAACTTTGAGGATTGTGAGTGAACTTGGATCTCATGAAAAATAGGAGTGTACGGAATCACCGGTGGTGACTTAGGCTTAAAGAGTATTTCCTGGAGCACTAGAATGTTTAAAATGTTTGTAAATAAATGGTTATAATAGCTAGATAGGATAGCTGGAAAAGGAATGACGTACTAGACAGTCGAATTGCTGGTGTAGCATATGCTAGAGTAAGCAGAGTGGCACGTGGCCAGAAGACGTCAGGAGGAGGAGGGCGTGCTTGCTTATGGAAATCAGAAGACATGCTGACCAGTACAAAATAGTCTGCACTTAAAATATATTCACTCTAAATCCTAAGTGTGTCAGTATGACTTCCCCACCACAACCTAAAGGGAAGAACAAGAGTGGGTCTCCATAGAAAGGTGTTTTCCTAGTGTGTTTTCGTTTTTCTCATCCTACTTACACATAGAACCTAATAGTGAAAACTTCTGAGATTCTTGTACAATTTATACAACTGACTTCTCTAATCCTGGGGGAAAAAATTCTTTGTTTGGTTTTCATGTTATAAAAATCAACTAATAGTACTAGGCCACCAGAACTCATCCTAATGGTTGCATTATTAACCTTTTCTGAGTTCATTTTGCTTTTATAATTTTAGATACTTTAACTGCATATTTTTGTGTGTGTGCACTGATAGCACATAGGATAATTTGTCTCATTCCTGTACTTTTAGCTTTAAAGTTAACTGCATAGCATAATTTCCCTCAACCTTTCAAAAAAATCTAATGATTCTAGTTTTATGTTTTTTAAACTATTGGAAATATTTGGCAAGGTAATTGGAGTAAACCTAAAAGAATACTACAATGTTATTGATATGCCTCTCTCAGCTCAAATTCTCCATCTGAAGCACAGAATTTTTAAGAAATGGTTTGCTGTCTGCTTAGTCGTGTGGGTGGGTCTGAACTGGCACATTCTAGATGGCAGGCAGGCTGTTCAGAACACACAACCCCTGAGCAGGAACCTTGCTTAGATGTAGAACTGTCATCTGTCTGAGATGGAGAGTGTCATCTGCGCTTGAATCTCACCTGAGACAGTCTGTCCTGCACAAGAGCTGCATTCACTTTAGCCTTTCAAGACTAATCTATTTTCTGCTTAGCATTTTTTGTTACAACCATGAGATTTTAGTCAGGGATACAATTTTGAATAAATTTAAGTAAAATGTTGTTAGGTGCATTATGGTCAGCCACCACTTAGCAGCCTCTCTGACCCTTGTCCTGTGCCACCCTCTGGTCTCTCTGGTGCTCAAGCCTGTTGGAGTAGTTGCTGTGTCCATCTCGTTGAGGGTATTTTGCTGACCTTTCCCAGCGTTGTGTCACTCTGAGTGGACTCATTGGACTGATTGCTCCTGAAACTAGGCCCAGAGTGAGTGAGAAGCGTTTGCCCAGAGAACCCTTCACTATTACAGCTGTTGAGACTTGAATTTGTTCATCAGTTCTTTCACCTTGACAAGTGCTGAGTGTGTTCTTCCCTTTTTGTTTTCTAACTGCAGCTCCTTGCATGTTTCTTTATAACACTTTCCTTTGTGTTGTCAAGTTGCCCTTTGAGATCTGCTCAGCTCTCTTATTTCTTTCCCTTTGTTTTGGCTTCTTTTCACTCAAATAGAAGTTTCAGAGTCTCCACTGACATCCATTTGGGTTTTTTGTTTCTTCCCTGTTTTTATAATAAACTTTTACTTTCTTTATGGTTGATGCCTTTTCCATAAGTCTTAATCTTTGAGCATTAATACTCAATATATCAATTCTCTTGTTGCCATGGTTTTCAGTTCCATCAGGACACGCCCAAGGTTCTATTTTGGTTCTCATGGGCTTTTTGTTGTTCCTTTCAACTTCTGTTCAAACTTGAATATGAGTTGTTGATGGACTGTTCCACAGTCGGTCTCTAGCCTGGTTTTGACTACTCACATTCAGCTTCTCCATCTACTCGTTCCACACATGTAGTCAATCTGATGAAAGCCCATCAGGTGAAATCAGTATGTACAGTTCTGTTGATGGTATTTTGGTTTTATTGTGTGTTTTTCAGTATTTACAATGAATAAATTATTCGTTGTATAAAATTCTATCAACAAGGCTGCATTTTCCTACTGCCAGTAGAGAAATTTTCCCTTGTTTTCTACTTTTAGATTCCAGTCACGAACATGTTCGATCAATTTCAGACTGCAAAAGTTGGCTAGAAAAACCCTCCATTTCTTCATCTTTGGCTTTCCTAGTGGGTGCATATATTGGAGTAACCATTGTGTATGCGGATGTGTGTGTGTGGATAGCACTCACAACATCATACTTCAGGACTGATCGTGACGTGCTCTTCCTAGTGTAGCACAGATTCAGAATAGCCCATACCGTTCCATCTTAGCACATTAATGCCTACCGTGTGCATCTTTAAGTGTGTGCCGTTTAGTTTTTGACTACTCTGTTTACTTAGAACAACTTTGGGAACTGTGATAATGCATTTTTATCGTCTTTCTGGGACACACAAGCCCTGTGAGTTCTCTGCTGCTGGGCTTGTTGGTGAGGTGAGACTTCATTTCTTCCAACTGATGCGGTTATGTAGGTCTCCACCTGATGGCAGCACACACTGAACAGGAGATAGATTTTCCCATTAAACCCTGCAGGCAGATAATAGCAGGATGACTACTCTTTCCCATAGGTCACAGAGGGGTTATTCATGACTGAGTCAGCTGAAACTGGTAGGAGCGAACTGAGCTGGATTTTAATCATGGCTGAGATGGGCTGCAGCCTCACGTGGGAATTGAGCTGAACTTTAAGCCCAGAGATAGTCTTGGGCAATTGCGTATATATTTAAGGCATGGAAAGCTATTTGCCTCTCAAACATTAAACTACTAGTTAATTTATCAATACTTTAGCCTGACAAATTAGGAAGGAAATGTTGTTCTATATACTTGTTAAAGCAAGAATCTATAAGAAATCCCTTTTTTTCCCTCCCAAAGAGCACATTTCACTAAAAATGTGAATATATTTAGTAATGTTCACATTCTTCACGTTTGTTTCCTGTGAATTTGCTGCGTTGACCTGGTGCATACCCAAAGGGCAGTCTCAGGGCCTAGGCATCTCAGGGCCCTTTGAGGGTCCCTCAGCGTCCTCCGCGTAAGCGACCAGAGCCTTTTTCCCAGTCTTTAACCAGAATAGCACCCATCAGCAGAAAGGGTACAGGTGTGGGCAGCTTAGCTACTGCCAGCCTGCTACTCAGGACATCTGCAAAAATTACTACTCTTCCCGCTAAACTGTTTGTTTACATGCAACTCTGCTATTTTTAAACAAGTTAACAGGGTTGTTGGTGGTTTTTTTGTGTGTGGTGGGTTGTTTTGTTTGTTTTTAATTTTTGAGCTTTTTAAAAAAACATTTAAACAGTTTTAAAATACTCTTTTTATGGATGGGAATGAGTTTTGAGAACCACTACTTTCCATTTTAATATCTGTAGTAGTTATAAGAAGTCATGCTGCCAACGTATCCAAAGACAGAAGGTTCGAATCCACCAGTTGCTCCATGAGAGACACATGGGCATTTCCCTGTGTGATTTACTGCTTCTGTCAGCTATGAGTTGGCACGTAGGAACATGAAAGTAAACGCTCCAGAGCAGCTAGGTTTTTTTAATATGGTGGTTTTCTGTGGGGTTATTTGTTTTGAGGTTGTTGGGTGATGGTATTTTTTTTAAATGAGGAGAAACAGTAATAATTAATAATATTTTGGTTTCTATGAAGATCTTATTTTTTTTCCATCCCGCCTGTGTTTTTTTCTTCTTCTTAACTTTTTATTATGATCTGAGTGACAGTTCTCAGAGAACAAATTGGTTTTCCATCCAGCCATTCATTCCCAGTGTGTTTATAACACTGATTTTGATCCATACCTTGTAGCCACACTCTTCCCACTATCCACCTGCTTGTTTCAGCCTGTTTCTAGTGACTGTTGGAGCTGAGCCCAGGCAAGTCCAAGGAAGCTGGACTAGCACCCAGCCCTTTACCCTTCCACCTCATAATTTCTGACAGGACTAAGAAGAGGGAACACTCTCATCCAGGCTTGTTTGTGGGGGGGTATTCGATGGTCCTATTTGTTAACTAAGTTATTTGAGTCTTAAATATTTAAAGTTGCTTTTTCTTTGCAAAGTCAGGGTGTCCTAAGACTATGTCTTGTTTTTTAAGATTGATTGTTCAAGTACTATTATGCTGGACAACCTTGTGCGGAAAGATACCAACGTCGACCACGGGCAGCCAAGACCACCCTCCAACAGGACCGTGCAGTCACCCAACTCCTCAGTGCCATCCCCTGGCCTGGCAGGTAGGGTGGGCTCCCACGGAACACTGCTGTAGTCTTCACTCTACTTGGAAGTGTTATTGTTGGGTGCCATCAAGTCAAGTACAACTCAGCAACCCCGTGAATAAAAGATCTTAACCCTATTCATTCCAACACCATCCTCACACTTTCTGACACACAAGAGCCCATTGCAGCAGTCACTGTGTCATTCCACCTAGTTAGCATCTTCCTCTCCTTCACCAAAAGCATGATATCCCTTTCCAAGGACTGGTCCCTCCTTGCAACATGTCCAAAGTATTTCAGGCAAAGCTTCAGAATCCTTGCCTCCAAGGAGCAATCTGGTTTTACCCTCTCTAGGACAAACCTGTTTGTTCTCCTAGCAGTCTATAATCACTACTCTTTTCAACACTCTTCTACAGCACCACAGCTAAAAGGCATCAATTCTCCTTCTGTCATCCCTAGTCATTATCCGGTTTTGTCATGCATAGCAAGTAATTGCAAAGACTGAATCAGGTGCACCTTAGTCTTCAGACTGACGTCGTTGTTCTTCAGTACTTTGGAGAAGTCTCTGACAGCAGACTTTCCCAACGTAATTCGTGTTTTAATTTCCTGGCTACTGGTACCAAGAGTATTGATTGTGAGAGCCAAACAAATAGAGAAGGAAATAGATTTCGGCCAGCTTTTGCAGTCAGTGATTGAACATGCAATCAAGATGCATTAATAATAATAATGATGGGTGACTGAAATGCAGAAGTTGGCAAGAGAGAAGAAGAATCAGTAGTAGGAAAACAGGGACTTGATGACAGAAATGAAGCTGAGATAGTATGATAAAATTTTGCATAATCAACAACTTATTCATTGCAAATAACGTTTTATAAGAACATAAACACGTAGTCTACACATGGATTTCACCTGATGTTATGCATAGGAATCAGATTGAGAAGCTCAAATCAGCTGTGAAAACTAGGTCAGGTTCTGATTATGGAACAGACAGACCACCAACTACTCATATACAAGTTCAAGCTGAAGCTAAGGAAAATTAAGTCAAATTCACAGGTACCAAAATTTGACCTTGAATCTATCCCACCTGAATTTCAAAACCATCTCAGAACGGGTTTGAGACCTTGAACACTAATGAATGAAGACCAGTGAGCTGTGAGAAGATATCAAGAATATCATCCAGGAAGAATGCAAAAGGTCATTACAAAGACAAAAGAGGAAGAAAAGACCAAGATAGGAGTATAACTTGGCAAAAACTTTCTAGAAGCCATTACTCTTTTTTTGCTAATCCATTACTGACTGTATACCAGGCCGTGGGCCGAGTACAGGTTGCCTCTGCTGTCCAGAGGTCAGGTGTTCTTGGAAACCTCTTACAGGAAAAAATGGTAGAGAGCAAAGAAGTAGTTTCCATTTAGTGTTTGTGGGAAAGAGTTTTGAGCCTTCCCAGTTCCATAAATTAACCTACCAAATACAGCGCACAGAAAACCCTAGCTTCACACCAACAGTGTTCACAGACAAAGTCATGCAGTTTGATGCTAAGATGCTATAGTTCAGCAAAATAAACCCTGAGTGCTGGTTCCCATTTCCTCCCTTTTTTCCATAAAAGCAAAGTCCTTTTCAGGTTTTTTGAGTTGGCAGGAACTTCCTGTGTGTAATGACTTGGCACAAAGATGGGTTTAAGGCTATAAATCACATGGGAGGAGATTGCCCATAATTATTTCCTGGAGGAGCTGTTAAATTTGAACTGTGTGATGATGATGATGATGATGATTATGGAATAACTAAAAATTGGATTTACAAAGCAATAAAGATTACCAAAGCAACATTTATAGTAGTAAAAAAATTTTCAAACAAGGTAAAAATATGCATATATGGAGATTCGGTTAAAATAATTTAATGCATCCATTAATAGAATATTCTTTAGCTATCTCAATGAGTTTTAATGTCATGTTTTATAGTAGGATCAGGAAAAGCGGTATAAAGAATGAAATATTAAGTACAATACCAAAAGAGCGATGTATGTTTGCATAATTTATGTCCAGTTTGAATGCAGTGCTGGAATGGCACTATGTGTAGGAATTCTGTAAGTGATTTGAATTAACATGATGGCTGTGTGGTTCCCTCCTACAGGACCTGTCACTATGACTGGCGTCCACCCCCCAATACGCTCACCTAGTGCCTCCAGCGTTGGGAGCCGAGGAAGGTACTGACCTTATTCTCTAGTATGAACACCTTTCACAACTTGCTTTGGTACTTAGAGAACATTTAAACCGTTTGGGGGTGGGTTTTTTTGAGGTGTTTGTTGTGTTTTGTTTTGTTTTTAATCTTTTTGCGTGTACCGTCAAATCAGATCTGACTAGTACAGGAGGAGATTGTCCCTACTTCTTCAGCAGAGCATCTGGTGGACTTGAACCACACGCCTCTAGGATTGCAGTGCGTTTTCTTGCCACTAGGCCACCAGAGCTCACCTTAAACAGTTTTTATTTGTAATTCATGTATTACATTTCATTTATTAGTTCAAGGATTGGGTAAATAAAGTATAGATTTATCTTAAAAAGAAAAATACCCTGTTTGTATATTGCTCTTAATAAAATATACTATTTGATGATAGCATGCTGAACCAGTGGGAAATACTCTTGTTCTTTTGACTTTTTGATGACCGAGCATTAACCATACAAGAATAAAACAACAAAAATTTAGTGTTGGAATTCTAATTTTAGTTACTGCCATGGGTTTGCCCTCATGATACTGAAATGTCTCTTAGATGAAACGTGCTGTGGTGATATCTGGAAGGGAAATTCTTGAGATCAAAAGACTTCCTTCCTCCTTGAGAGAACATGTTGGTTGTCAGTAAGCATCCCACTGTCCTTTGATATGAGTATGACCTATGAGTGACAGTCTAGCCATTGTCCTCACCCTTGGATTGTAGCAGCAAATTGTTACTGCACTACATTCAAATTTTATTTGCATATCTTTCCAGATGTGTAATGTCATGGTTCAAACAGCTGTCAATGTTACTGTTCTGCATGGTGCTTTGTTGGGACCCCACGCCAGTACCTGCTGTGCCGTTTGTGGCTCACACAGGGCTGGTGTCATTTAGAGTGTTGCCTAATAACATCTCTCTTCAGGGACAGTGAAGCATTCTCCAACTGTTCTTTTCTCTCTCTCTTTCTCACTCACAGCTCTGGCTCTTCTAGCAAACCCACAGGAGCGGATTCGACACACAAATTCCCAGTAGTAATGTTGGAACCAATCCGAATAAAACAAGAGAACAGTGGACCACCTGAGAACTATGATTTCCCTGTGGTTATAGTGAAGCAAGAATCAGATGAAGACTCCAGGCCTCAAAATGTAATTCTTGATACTAATGATTCCACTGCTGTTCTTACTGAAGGCTTGGGTGACCGTAGTCCCCACTGCCGTCAAGGTAGTTCCAGCTCCCTACGGGACCCCACTGGGTGGCCACTGGGTATCCAGTGCTGTACGTGCTGTGGGGAGGGGCTGCCCGTCTTTCTCCTTCAGAACCATGGATTCTTTCGGTTGAGTATAATACCTTTTACACACCACCACCAGGGCTCCTAAGTATCACTTAGTAGGTAAAGAATATTAATAAATTGTCAATATAACAATTCAAAGAAAAAACTTGACTGAAAGTCAATGAAAATACAAATTGGAGGGAAAAGAAGGAAAAGTGAAGTAATCAGAGATTCTAGTGAGGACATTAGAGAAAGAGATTGGCCAAGTGGGAGGTAATAAGAAATATTGCAAGAAAACTTCCTGTGACCGAGGACCAGAACATGTGGATGAGAAGGACCTGCCAGGTACTGAGGTGAGGGGGAGACTCCAGCCATAGCTTCCTAAGTTCCAGAAAGTTTGAAGTGTCCAAATGCTTCCTGGCATTTTACAAATCCTTTATACAAAGATTGACATCAAGTCTGAACCTCAACCAAAAAACTGGAAAACAGTGACGATATATCAAAGTGGTGAGGAAATAATTTACCTACCCAGAGTTTGCTACCCTTGTGTGTAAGGGTTAAATAAATCAATTTTCCAGACATGAGAGGCTTATTTTATTCCTGAGTTCTCAGGAAGATACTTTGCATCATCAAAACCCGTAGAATAAACGAAGAATAAAGCCGCTATCCCACAAGTAAGGCATAACCCAGGATCAGGCAAAGAGCAAGCTGGCACAGCAGGGCCACAGACCACAGTGACTGGAGAGCTGTGCCGGGCACACCACTGGGCGGAGAATACAGCCAGAAAGAGAGCACCTGGCTAGAGCTCGGGCCTGGTAGCTCTGTTCTTAGTGAAAACAGTTATTTTAAAAAGAAAAGGCAGTCTTAACTCTGTTCTATAGGAAGCAGTGTATTGGCATCTGAGTGTAGAATTAACTAACAACTATTTTACAAGTAGATTATAACTTGAATATATATATAAATCTAACAGAAAGTTGTGATTTTTGATAATACTGGACAAGTATAGCAGAGATATTGACCACCTGATTGTATACATGGAGACTGTAAACACCCGCCCTGCCACGTCCATTTCTGTCTCCCATCAGCAAAACATCCACTTCCCCCGTCATTCTGCTGTCGTGGTATGTTTTGGTAGAGGACTCTGGCACAGTCGCTATGATCACATTCTGTTCTCACTGCTAACTAGATTCCTTTGAAGCAGCCAGGATTACCATAGACTTGTTAACAAAATATTGATTTGAAATGTCTTCTCTATCCTGTTCCCTCCTTCCACTGCAGACCAGTTATCCCCGAAGCATCCTCACCTCCCTTCTGCTGAGCAGCAGCCAAGGGTCTGCTTCAGAAGAGGCCACACCCAGATCTGACGCTCCGGACAGCACAGGGGACCAACCTGGGCTCCACCAGGAAGATTCCAGTGGGAAGTCCAAGTGGCTCGACGCTGGCCAGAAGTCTCCTCTGCACGCCGGAGACACGAGGAAAGAGGAGGACCCGAACGAGGACTGGTGTGCAGTGTGTCAGAACGGAGGCGAGCTCCTGTGCTGTGAGAAGTGTCCCAAGGTGTTCCACCTCTCCTGCCACGTGCCCACTCTGGCCAATTTCCCCAGGTAGGCACGCCGCCCCTCCCACCTCCAGAGAGAGCAGCCTGCGCGGGGCTCCCCTTGATGGCCGAGCTGCAGGAGCACCTGCTGGCTCTTCCTCCTGCCACTGTGCTTGTCTCTGAAATGAGGGAGGGACTTGGCGAACCAGGGCCCTCATTCCAGCCACCACCCAGCTGAGTGAATCTTCTTCACCAGGCGTTGAATTGTTAGCAGCGTACCTCTCCATCAAGTTCTCAGACAAGATGGAGATGACCTAAGCCATTTGCGTTGATCCTTTGGTTCTTTTACAGTTTCCCTTTTTATCAGAATCATTTGAGAAGTGCAAATGACATTTCCTGTCAGCCTCAGTGTTGTATTTGCTCTAGCTCTTCATTTGGTATGCATAGCTCATGCCTCATAGCTAGTCTTGACCTCTTGGGCCCTTGCCCTCCCTCAGCGTAGCACTGTGTATGTAATACCTGCATGCAGTGTAGTTCATGCCCAATGACTCTTCATGGGGGGGGGTGGATAGAGAGGTGGGGGTGAAGGGGCGGGGGCAAGGAGAATGATGACTCAAGAGTGGTTTGTTCCCACAGTGGAGAGTGGATTTGCACTTTCTGCCGAGACTTATCTAAACCAGAAGTTGAATACGATTGTGATTCTCCCAGTCACAACCCAGAGAAGAGGAAAAGTGATGGCTTCGGGAAGCTGACACCAATAGACAAGCGGGTGAGCTCACAAGAGGCCCAGCAGAGAATGTGAGCTGGCCTTCTCTTAGATAAATGATTCATCAAACAAGTGTGTGCCCAGCCGCACTTCAAATGCCCCAGGGATGGGGAGGGAGGGGGGAGAGAGACATCAGATTGCACCACAGTGAATTGTAAATAATAGCCAGATATTTTTCTTTTCAGAAACACAGTACTTATATGAATGCTTGAAATAATAGTACGGTAGAGTGTGTATCATTTATGTAGCCTGGGCTTTTGAATTTAATCTTCCATGAGTAAATTTTAAAATTTTTATTTTGTTTCTTTCACAAATGTCTTCCCAAAGTTTGTCAATAATTGGCTGGGTGGAAAGATGAGGTTTTAAATTACACTCTTTAAGTTTGCTACATGGTATCTCAGAAGACAATTTAACAATTAGAGCCACCAAGTCAACATCATGTTAATAATAATTTGTGTAGATCAGTCACTACAAATCATGCAGAAGGGGCCTCAGGCCCTATCCTGCTCTGCAGGCCTGGGCCGGCAAGGCCAACCCTGTGCCCTGTGCCCGGGGGATGTTCCCTGGGGCTCAGTACCCTCCGCTTCCTTCATCACCAGGGACTGATCAGCAGTGTACAGGCTGGAGTGAGAAATGGAAAGCTCTTTTTGACCTTGGGTGGGTTTCTGGTGACATTGTTTCTGCTGGTTTAATTGCAGGGACTGCACTCAGCGAGCACCCCCCCCCACCGCCCACCACTGCCGCTCAGGAGGGCAGAGCCCCACTGTTCTTGTTCCTCTTCTATTCGTCATGTTCTCATCTCACTGGTCTCTGATCTGTGAGACTCTTACTAAAACTAAGCTGTGGCTTCGTTGTTTTTGTTTCTTTTTGGTTTTGTTTTTAATTTTTATTTATTTGTTTATTTTTGCTTAGAAGTGTGAACGGCTACTTTTATTTCTTTACTGCCATGAAATGAGCCTGGCTTTTCAAGACCCAGTTCCTCTCACTGTAAGTATTCATGGAACTTTGTTCTTGTTTTTACACATTGAGGTGATTTTTCTGAAATTTGAGTTATGAGAATCTAATTTGTTAGTTTTCTAACAGTTGATTAATTCTGATTCCAACCTTTAAGCCTTTTCATCTTGATTGCTCAGTGCTAACTCAGTAATTGATTAGTATGTCCTGTGAGGAGATCCTTTTCATGTTACTAAAGTGACCCAGCGCGCCGCTCATCTCTAGGGAGCTTGTTAAGCTTCCCATCCTGTGTGTTTTGCCTGCTGGTGTTGTGTGTAGTAGGTTATGCTGCTGACGGAAAGATCAGCGCTCTGGTCCCCTTCTCTTGTGAGGGAGAAGGCAGTTCAGCAGTGACAGGTTTGGTTTGGGGGTGATGTTCCCTGGGATGATTTCTGTTCTTCCCCCCCTCCCCATTTCTTAAGTTGTTGGGAAGACTTTTTCTTTGAGGTGGTTTTGGTGTCATTGAGTCAATTCCAACTCAGAGCAACCCTTGTGAAGAGCAGAACTCCCCTGCATGGGCTCAGATCTCTAAGCTTAACCGGACAGCCTCAGGCATTTCCCCCACCCCCAACAATAAAGGCCTGCAGTTCTTGGGATGTGTGATTTCTAATCGCATAGTTTAAGAAATAAGATTTTTAGTACTAGAAAGAGTTGAGGGGGAAGGTTTCTATGTGTTAATATTGAACATTTCGCTGTCAGCTCTAATGGATGGGGTTTTTTTGTTGTTTTTTTTGTTTGTTTTGTTTTTGTTTTTTTTATCTAATGGATGGTTTTAAGAGCACTGGGAAGGGCCTGCTTCCTAGAATATGCTCTCCTTTTATTTTCTGATGTAAGGAATGCCTGAAGACATGAAATTTACTCTGCCATTTGAAAATTTTAAAACTTAATTCCAGATTGGAAGGGAAATCATCAATTCCTATATGAAGACAGGTTCTAAGAAATGAGATGAGAATAGGAAGTATAGATAGTGAGGGGAAGGGCCTTTTACAGTCAGAGACGAAGAGGAGGCAAGTCCAGAAAGGAGACCTGCAATTCCCATGTCAGCCCTCTGCTGGGCACTGTGTGGACTGGCACTGCGGCCCCTTGGCATGGGTGCTGACAGAGTCAGAAGAGCTCTCCCTTTCTCGGTCAGTTTCATCTCATTTGCGAAATCCTGGGTGGTCATAGGACTTGGGGGTTTGGAATATAAGGAAATGAGAGCTCAGTGAGGAGACGATCTTACAGAAAGGGAGGGCCAAGGAACACGCATAGATGTTACTAGATAGGTTTCCTCACCAAGGGCAGAGCCATACAGGGAAAAGGGGTGCTGACGATGGTGTGCCCTGAGAAAGAGGGTTTACTCGGGAATCAGGTACAATTCACTCTTTATATTAGAGCATCTTCATTTCTTTTGACAGGTGCCTGATTATTACAAAATAATCAGAAATCCAATGGACTTGTCAACCATCAAGAAAAGACTGCAAGAAGATTATTCCATGTATACAAAACCTGAAGATTTTGTAGCTGACTTTAGATTGATCTTCCAAAACTGTGCTGAGTTCAATGAGGTGAGAGGGGAGGTCGGAGGTTTCGTCTGCGTGGATATTCCGACGTGTGCAGTTTGTGGTGAGGGGAAGTACGCATTGCAGCAAATAGCTTGGTAGATTATTTGGAAAATACTTTCAGCTGACCTCCAAGTACTGTCACCTGCATTATTTTTTTAAATATGCCTCTTTAGGCTTCAGTCTGTCTGATGTTGATGTTAAAATAGTAAGATGTGATCCATATAGACTTAAGATCTGTCAGCATAGCTCAACTCATAACCATTTGTTTAGAACCCACATTTCATTTGCTCTAGAAATTCAAGTATCACACGCATGCTGAAGCCACAAAAGTAAGCAATTCATTTCTGATTTGTGTGTTTTTCATTTGTGGCTTTCTTTTCATCCAACAGCCTGATTCAGAAGTAGCCAATGCTGGTATAAAACTTGAAACCTATTTTGAAGAACTTCTAAAGAACCTTTATCCAGAGAAAAGATTTCCCAAG